CTTCCGGTTCCGACAAATGATTAATACATTATAAAAATACATTCACCTACCAAATTTGATCCGGATATCTCGAAAACTGAGAGACTAGATTGCATACAAACAGACGGACAGACAGACAGACAGACAGACAGGCTCGCCGTTCTGATCATTTAAGTATACATTTTAATGGGTCTATCTCTTGTTATTCTGGTACTTATAAACATCGGACCAAAGTTATAATACCATTTCATGCTCATGAAAGGTATACAAATTGTGCAGAACTTTTTAGTTTTTGTCCGCCGAACAAACAAACTTAACATTTGTATATCGATGGCTGAGTGGAAGATCTACCTATCTCGGCAGCCAGTTCGAAAACGCCCTATCTCAGAAAACTTTTCAACAACGCCCTACTTCAGAATTTAATTGAAGAACGCACTATTTCAGAAGTTTATTGAAAAACATCCTATCTCAGAATTTTGTTGAAGAACGCCCTATCTCAAAATACATTGAAAATGTGCTGAGATAGGGCGTTTTTAAATCGGCAGCTGAGATAGGTAGATCTTCCACTGAGCCATCGATATATGCATATATGTATATGAACGTACTAAAGAGCTGCGCAAAACCTTCTAAAAGGCACACTTTACTACTATGCAGTACTTCCAAGCGGCGTACTACAGGGTGCGTTAACAGCAACATAAAATATTCTATAGCAAGCTGCGCAACAATACAAACACTTCAATATTCGAAATAGAATTTGCTACAGCGGCGATAGCGCTTGAGTTCTGCGGTGAAGCAAATTGTAAAACCAAAAAGAAGGGTTGTAGTAAAATAGCGGCAAATCATAGCAAGACAACCGAGTGCACTAGAACATTTGCATATATGTATAGCAACTCATTACCAATTGTTAGCGCAAGCCACGCAGTTCGCAGTCATCGTCAAGACGAAGATAGAACTGAGTGTTAAACTATGTTCACATTACCAACATAAAATACTTAGTTTCGTTTAAAATACCTCACTAAATTAAGTGCGTTCATACACGCGTGTCTTTATTTGTCTTGACAGCTTTGTAGCAACCCTGTGTTATTGTTTATTTGACGAAAAGAGATCGCGAATGTGAGTAATTGCGTATATTTTTATATTCTGAGTTGTTTGTGGTTATTCTTTAGATTTTAGATGAGTGATCAAAAGAGAAAGCTTCTGGAAATAATTTACAAACTACCACGCGCGATTATTAAAAACAAAAACGTCCAAACACAATGACATATCAGTTGTGGGACAATACTTTTTTCGATTATTATCGATAAAATTAGAGCCGACACTGATTTGTTCGTGTTTTGGTTCTTGGTTTAAGATAAACTACGTACTTTCATCTTAATTTACTGAGAGACTTTACAAGGCGAAATTACTTAGTTTGTACTTAATTTATGCGTAAATTAAGATTGACCTCTAAATTACGCCAATGGGAACATAGTTTTATGGATGTAAGCAAAATTTAAAATAGAGTGTTATTTTTTATTTGTGTATACACACATACATAAGTGCTAAATATTCAAAAAATATGTACATATATGTTTGACTTGTTATAGGTGTCCACAACTGAATCCCCTGCAACCGATGCAGGTGAAATAAAGGTAAAAGTGCTGTCTGGAGAGTACAAAATAAGTTCAAAGCGAGGACGTAGCAAAGTGTGGAACATTTTCTGGATTATAGAGACTGGAGATGGCGTTGAGGTGACTGACTTTTTGGTTTGCCGAAAATGTATGAATATTTATAAATACAACAAAAAAAAACCACATCAAATTTTGTGAAGCATAAGTGCTACGTCCACGATGAGTCAAGAGCGAATTCTCTAGTGCCCAAAATCGCTGCAGACACAAACACAAAAAAAATTGCAGCTGATATATTCACAAAATTGGTAGTGAGGAGTTGCAGACCGTTTAAAATAGCCAGTGATGACGGTGTAAAAGAAATCGCAGAGTTTTTCGTATCTATGGGAGCTAAGTTTGGTCCGAATATAGACGTCATGACCTTCATACCTGATCCGACAACTATTTCGCGTAACGTCGAGTCGATGTATAAAATTAATTTTGCTGAAATAAAAAGAAAAATATCTGCAGTAGCTGAAATTGGATACGGCTTAACATCGGACTTGTGCGCTAAAAAGAAAATTATAGACCTATGCGCTATTTATTTTTAAATTAATCTTAAATAGATATTTTTGTTTAAACCGACATTGTCTAATTTTCAAATTTCAAACTTTGCACAAAAATTAAAAGAAATCAAGAGTTTCATCAAAATTTCATCACGTTTTTTCTAGAATTTTTATAAAAATTCAAAGTATGCAGTTTTATATCCCATTCAATTTTAGTATGTACAATAAAGTGCATGCCTTTAGTGTCTAAAAAATATTGTTGATTTTCTTTTTTCTTCCACATAAAATAAATGCGAACATTCGTTATATGGAAGAA